TATAATATATATAATAGTATATATATTAATATTAATAATTAGTATATTATATAGTATATATAAATTTAAAATACTGGCAATGAATATCGGAACGCACATTTCTTGAACTGGTGCAGCCAGTACAGGAACAAAAAACAAACCTTAGTTTATCATGAATGTATATATTTGGCCGAATTCTCTGTAAATGATTCGGATTCAACATTGTTCGACATTGTTCGGGAATCTTAGAAAATCCGAATCCCTGAATAATCCGAATTTGGAATGTCATATTTAGCCTCTACTCACTAAACAATTGGATATTCGAATAGATCCGACCGAACCTTGGAAACCCTAATGTATATATTAATTCATACATACTAATTACACAACAGTTTTCATATTCCTTATTAAACAAATTTGAATTGCATAGTCGGGAACCATTTTGCATGCATTGCTGAATAAAGTAATTATAGTAAATGTAATTATTAAATAATAAGTAAATATAATAAAATAAATCTAGCCAATCTGTCGTTTTTAGCCGCACATTGGTAATGTGCATGAATGCTTTGCTGCGACGTTGTTGTGCCGCTGACACCGCTTGCGTACAATCTTCGGTAGTAAAGCGAATAATTGCTTTTTGCAATATGAACTGTATTTTACACGTTGATGAAGATAAATAGTATAATCTATGAGGAAGATACTTTGGTTGTGTTTACAACACGAATTTATTTGTCAGATTCGTACACATTGCGATCAATTTAATAGTCAAACGCTGACACTTTAATCTCGAATAAAGTAATCTAAATAAATAAGATTAATCCCTCTGGATAATAAATCACCTTTTTATCTCCTCTCTTATATTATAAGGAAAATTGATGCGAAGAATATTACTCCTTGCAGAGAATCAAACTCAATGCCTCTTTATTTGTTAGTCAAAGCATTGGACCTATTATTGGACTAACACTGTGATAATGTTTGACACATTAAGCCAAGATAAATAAGATAATCGGAAACTTTCTTCATCCTGCATAAATGAAATATCCTCCCGCATAATTCTCTGGTAGAAATATTATCCTCTCATTATGTTAGATTACGTAAAATCAACAGCGTTTAAACCATTATCGGTCAAGTTGTATGTTAAATTTGCCACCAATTTTATAAGGAGGCATTTTGCAAAACGAATTGTATACAACTCGAGCGATTTCTATTTAACGTATGTCGAAAAAATTAGTTACGTTAGATTAATTAGATAAGATTACTTGCAAATAATATTTGTTAAATTATTTCAATATTTAAATGTTAATACACAAAGACTTAGAAAAGGAGGAGAAAGGGAGGGGGGGGG